GAAAGAGAGAGAGAGAGTACATTTAGATGAAAATAAAAACTAGCTGTCATTCGGGGCCTACCACATCCATACACATGTTGTAGTAGAATCCTATAGATCTAGTTAGTACTCGATTGTGATGACCCCAAAAATATATTATCGATTTACGAACGTGCACGGATGTGAACTCCAAAGATGACCAAAATAATAGCATATCATGGGGGGGGGACTTCAGGTGTCGGTATAAACTCTTGAACCTTTCCTTATCCCGCATCTTGTCACTCGACACTGCTGGCCGACTGTGTTGGCTGGCTTCCTTTTAATTAGCCACGTCTCGCTGTGTGTATGTTGCCTAGTCACCACATACGGGGGAGATGGAGGCAAACACCCGACGCATGTGTTTACGCACAGCTACACTCGCGGTCTCTGTATGTCTTCTGCAGATGGATACGTGGGTGGTTTGAGGGGGGGGGGGCGCCTCACAGATGAGATCCTACTTCTATACTTGCCCCCTGTTGTTTCTGTCCTGTCTGTCTTGGCTTTTCCCAACACTAAGTAAATAACCGTCATCGTGTCGATGTGCTTCTCTTTACTCAATTAATCAATCAATCAATCAACCAATCAGTCAATCAAATCTGAAAGATGGACACAGGGCGAACAGCGTGACACGCGAAGAGGATACGTTGTATTAAGACCAAGGTGTTGATTAAATCTCTCATTAGTCTGTCTGTCTGTCTGTCTGTCTGTCTGTCTGTCTGTCTGTCTCTCTCTCTCTCTGTCTCTCTGTCTCTCTCTCTCTCTCTCTCTCTCTCTCTCTCTCTCTCTCTCACCCCCCTCTCTCTCATCCCCCTTCCTCAAGTGAATGCTTTTGCTCGGTCTATTGTCCCTTTCTGTTCTTGGTAAAATGAGACTGTTGTCTTGTTTATTACGACTCAACGACACCCCGCTCTCTTCTTCCCACGCGGACGATGCATACACTTACTAATAATAAACACGTCAAAGTGCATACCAAAGCTTGCGCACTAAATGTTACAGGATCCTGTCTCTGAACTCTGTTGTGGTTTGATGTCTTTAGTTTGGTTTTGTGGATGACACTAATAGTAGGTCTTACTTTTTAAAAACTATTCATCTGTCGTTTTTTCTGAGCCAATTTTGCTGCACTAAATTACTGGATTTGTGTAATCTTTTCTTTCGCTCAACCTAAAAAGCAATATCTTGTAACTGGTTGCCATTTTACTTCCTTCACTCTGCTAAAAAAGTGAGTTCTGTAGCGGAAGTATCATCTGAATTTGACATTTTGTATGTTTTGTACAGACTTTTTAAAAAGTTCTTTTGTTTGTTACAGGAGCATTGATGTTCTCAGGTCTTTCAATTTATGATTTTCATGAATGTCCTTTTTTGTTTATTTTATCAGGTGTGCCAGAAGCGCGTAAAAAGCATTGGAGATGCAGATCAAAGCTCCTCCAAACTTTCAGCCTGAGGATGCCAGGGCGAGACAGACTTACGCTCCCCCTGTGCATGCCCGCTACAGAAAATTTGACTTGTACCGCAACGTACAGCAATTTTACTACATTGACAACCATGCTATTCAGGTTAGTAATGACATGGACTAGCTTTTGAATTATTTTTTTTTCTAATCTCAAATTTGGATTGGATTTGCTTGTTTGTCTTCAAATCCACGATTGCCGCAATTGAACTTTCTAATGAAAATGCGTTGGAGAAATCATTTTAGGGTAATAAATGAAATTGGCAAATGAGTTGTGGAGTAAAGTCTATTAATGTGGTGAAGTTGTGAAATGTTTTTATTTGGCTTTTTGTTGAATATCGTGAGTAAAGCTATAATGTCTTGGTATTGCAATGAAATTATTATTTTTTTTACATATTAAAAAAAAATACAGGATAAGTTTGAGCATAATGTTATTGTTTTGCATACTTTCAAATATTTAAGATTCCCCTGTGTGCCTCTGACAGGTAGCCCAAACTGAGCATGACAATTTCACTGATCTGATCTACCACCTTGTGTACAGTCAGAACCTGCAGGCTGATCTGGACAAAGTCAGGTATATGGAGAAATGTGTGGATAAATACAAATTAGATGCTGAGTCTTCTACTTTACTCATTTTCTAAATCTGAGTGACTTGGAAGTCCAGTTAAAATGCGTTGCCATCTATTTAACTTGCTGTACTTCAAAAATACCAAGGAGATTGTTCTTTTTATGAAAAGGTTTTTAGCTATGATTGTGGAGTTTTCCAGCCTTCTTTCACTTCAGTTTTGGAAATTTGGGTTCAATGAACTCCTTTATAACTTCCAGTTAGGAAAAAACAGTTTTCTTATTTCAGTCATGAGTCGTCTAGCTGTTTTATAAGTTTTTCTACTATCATATGATGGTAATGATACGAACTTTCATTTTTGTGTGAAGTAAATACGTAAGATTTTAAGCCCCATCCTTTGATGAAAAAATCCTTTTTAACCCACTAATATTCTGACAGATGTGGTATAAATAATTTTCAGTCACACAGCTTCTCTTTATTTTTGCGGCTGATGTTGTTTTGCTGTGTTTGAGAAGCAGTAATATTTAGATATACCCACCACCCCTTACCTCATTCCTTGAACCCCCCCCCCGTAAAATCTCCCTTCAAACTAAATTCCTTGAAACAATAAGAAAGGGTCTCTCAAAATAGGATATTCACCATCTGATTTAGTATTTCTTTCATGTACGTAATTGAATTCATATTTTTTCTCAACTTTTTTTTTTTCAGAGTTATTTTCCGATGGATGACCTCAAAGAACATGTACACCATCAACTTCCGGGAAGGAGCCAAACCCAACAGCCCTGAAGAAGTTCTGCTTTCGTTCAAAAACAAACAGGGAACGTATGCTCGCATCTTCGAAACCCTCTGCAGGTTTGTATATTTTATTTAGAATGATGTGATTAATCTTTGAAATTTTGATTTCCATTCATCAAGCATGCAGGGAGTAAAAAAAAAGACATAACCCCCAAAACTGTACGGCTTTTGATATGTTGTATAAAGATATTTTAAAAATGATATTAAATCAAAGACTATGTGGTGACTTGAGTGGATGTCCTTTTGAGGTTGAGGTGGAGATGAACTTGCTACTCTTTCTATGGAAATTATACCATATTAGACAGTATAACGATGGTGTTGTATTCAGATGACATATGAAAAAAAAAGATTTGTAGCATTATTCCCATATTCACATTTTGTCCTATCCAGGTTCGCTGGTGTCCACTCCATTGTACTGACCGGGTACGCCAAGGGTCTGGACTATCGTCCTGGAGACAAGTTCAAGGGCAACGAGTACAACCACAGCTGGAATGCTGTCTTGCTGGACAACAACTGGTACCTGGTTGACTCGCACTGGGCCACACGCTACCTGGTGTCTGAGAAGAACATGCCAGAGAATTTGGTAGGCAGCAATCTATCTGGCTTATTGAAAATGATATGAAAGTCAAAAGTTTCTTTTTTGTGTTATCTTGTGTTGGAGAAGAACATGGCTTAGACATAGGTTAGTGTGAATGAATAAAATATTTTATCATGGCTAAGCTATTTATTCCTGGATTGAGAAAAACTTCGTTTGTTTTGTCACCAAAGATGTGTAGACATCTGTAAATATACCTGAAGTATAGAGGACACTACTATAGAAATGTAAAAAGGGAGTTTTTATCTATTCTTAAATGCTGTCATTGTGTGCTGTCTTTTACAAGTACATAATATGCTTCCCAGATACTAATCCAACATGAGATAAATATGGCCAGAACTCTGACAGTGCTGTACTCTCTCTACAGGTGTATGAGTACGACGACTTCTACTTTTTGACGGATCCAGAGCAACTGATCTACAGCCATTGGGCCCACAAGAACGAGTGGCAGCTGCTGAACACCCCTGTCACCCTGCAGGACTTTGAAAACCTGCCACTGGTCAAATCCTATTTCTTCAAATGTGGCATGTTCTTTGTTTCTCATCACAATGGTGTTGTTGATGCAAAGAAGGGAAGACTGGCACTGACTCTTGGATTCTGCAAACCCACAAACTTCACGTATGTAATGACTGTTTGCCTTTACTATTGTTAAGTTAAAGCGCTTGTTGTGGGTACAGGCATATTACTTTTCAATGGGACAACTGCATATCTTTGTAACATTTCCATTATCTAGCAAACTTATTGTCACTGATAGTTGAGAATTAAATGGACTTGGTCCTGGGGATTTTAAAAGGCTTGTCTGAAATCTGTACTTTCTCTCCAATGTTGGAGATTTTGGAGAATTCCTTTCATTTTCTCCATGGACAGTCGACGCATTAGTATTATTCATTGATCTTCATGTTAGTGTATCTCAGTTGATGGCAGAAGTGTTTTTCATACTGGTTTCAGATTTTGAAAAGTGTCTCTAAAAATTATGTTACTATCATTTGATTCTGATTATTTTTTTTATTTATATGTGTTTATTGACCACAGTTAATCTGAATATAGTACAATATTACTTTTTATATTGTGATCATTATTTGCTTGAACCTGGAATTGGAAAAAAAAATATGCAGATAAAATTGTTGTTTAATTGCACTTGAGAGTCAGTTTACATTATATTGGCCCTTCCTGTAAGTAAAATGGAATGACAAACTAATAGGAAATAATTTGCTTTCCTGTTCTCAGATACAAGATCACGTTTGCCGACACCGGTGAGGAGGTATACCAGGGACAGAAACTGAAGAACTATGCCCTCCAGCACCAGGGACAGAACCAGACCACGACTTTCGTCTTCCGTGCTCCACGGGCTGGACAGTACTACTTCACTATCTTTGGACAGCTTCTCACCGGGGAACTGGGAGTAAAGAACATCTTCACTGCATCTGCTGAGTACAAGGTAATAGCTTTACACTTCATAGAATTTATTGATATAAAAGGTTTGGAATGGAGAACAACAACATGCTCAGTTTTAGCCTTTATATTTTATTTTGTAGCAAAATAGTAGAATGTCACAGACTAGTTATGATTTCTTTGCTTTTTTCAATAGATGAGTCAAAACTAGACTTTCATTCCACTTTTCTCAGAATGTGTGTTTGTTTTTGTTCTTATGCCATCATTGTGGCAAATTATTTTGTTAACCAGTGTAAAATATTCAGAAAGTGTTTACAAAGTGTTTTTCATAGTTACGTGTCGAACAGAAACAGATTTCATTCATTGCTTGCTTGTAAAAGAATAACTGCAATGTGCCTGTCACTTGTGTTCCAGCTGGTTGTGGATACCCCATCCTCCGATGCGGCTCCCCTGCCTTCCTGCTCTGACAGCAGCTGGGGCCCTGGTGTGGCCGTGGACCAACTGGGCATCGTCGCCACCCCTGCTGACGGAATTGTCACAACAGATGACGGACGTGTGGAGCTGGAGTTTGCCAAGACAAAACCGGCCTACGTGCTGTGCAAGCTGCGTAAGAATGGCATGAAGGACGAGGAGCTGGAGAAGTACATCACTGAGCAAGACGAAGGGGATGTGGTCAAGGTGAGCTATTTCTGCAGTCTAGGGGTGCGCTACTTCCCTGGAAATCTGTTTTTTAACATTTTAACAAAGTTTGACTTAATTTATCACAGTGGTTTTTGTGGCAAAACAGAAATGGGGGGTGCATTTTAAAATAATCTAACACTCAAGTCCAGCGGTTTTAATGCTTATTTGAATATAGGTCAGTGAATTTAAATAAACTAGTCAACAAAAATTAAGGAACATTTGAGAAAAAGTGTATAACTTCGAAAGCAAACTTCAACACGCAATGAAATTTGGTACACATTTTAATCAACATGTGTATAGCAAGTACCAAAAAAGAAAATTAAGTTATTCCATTTTAACTTGCTTGAAAAGTTAATTGAGTTTGGTAGGGGTTAAAATCCCAAATCCCCAAAATTGTCAAGCGGTTTCGAAGTTATTTTAACTTCTGACTGCAACAAAAACAAAACAGTTCAGATTATTTCAATAATGAGTATGCCCACCACAATTGTCCTGGCACTCAGTACACCGGCTCCTCACCGAGTTCATGAGGTTGGTGAATACTCTCTGAGGCGTCCCCTGCCACTCTGCCTACAGCATCTGAAACAGTTGCTGCGCGTCTCCTGAAGGGGTATGGTTGTCTCTGACTCGACGTTGTAGCTAATCCCAGAGGTTTTCTATGGGATTCAAGTCCGGACTGCAGGCCGGCCAGTCCATTCGGTTGATGCCAGCCTGCTGCATGAAGTTTTGGACAAGCAACGCTCTATGAGGTCGGGTGTTGTCATCCTGGTACACTGCATGTGACCCCATCTGCTGCAGAGTAGGTAGTGCTAATGGACGGAGTATCTCATCTCGGTAACGTATTGCAGTGAGATTCCCTTGCACTTGGTACAGAGGTGTTCTGTGGTTCAGACTGAAAGCACCCCATACCATCACGGAACCACCTCCAAAAGGCATCACTTCTCTGACGGCTTCATCGAGGAGCCGCTCTCCGGGTCGCCTCCAAACCCTGATACGGCCGTCATTGTGATGCAAAGAGAACCGGGACTCGTCGCTGAAGAGAACGTTTGCCCACTGTTGACGTGTCCATCTTACTTGGCGCCGCCAAAAGGCAAGACGAGCAGCCCTGTGTGCTGGGGTGAGACGCTGGCGGACTGCTGGTCGACGTGCATTAAGTCCAAACTCATGAAGACGTCTTCGTACTGTCTGACAACTAATGTTAATAATAATAATAATAATAATAATGAAGATCATTTCTATAGCGCCCACTCCCGTGTAAACACAGCTCTAGGCGCTTTACATAAATGCATGTAAGAAAAATATTCATGCACGCGACACACACACACACTCACACACACACACACTCATATACACACAAACACACACACATATACATATACACACACACAAACACACGCATACACACGCACACATGTATGCCAAACACACACTCACACACACACACTCACACACACACACACACACACACACACACACGTACACACACACACACACACGTATACACACACACACACACACACACACACACACACACACACACATCTACACGAGTTGCCGCTCTCAGCCGTGTCCGGATGCGATTTTCTGGAGCGGATCTCGAATGCGGAGCCTGTTTATGAATGAATCGGTCTTCCCTTGCATTAGTGGCTCTTGGTCGACCTGATCTGGGTCGCTCTTGGGCACTACCAGTGGCGTTGGCACGCTGAATCAGCCGTGAAATGACAGAAACGTACACTCGAAGACGTGTAGCAACTTGTCGGAGTGAAACACCATCTTGTACCTAAGCAATGGCTCGTCCTCTGTTTACATCAGACAATTTCTGTCGAGGAGGCATGTCTATGCTTAGCCCTACAGCAGCAGAATGGTGTATCCACAGTGCAATGAGCGAGTGCAAGTCACTCACGAGACATGAATCTTGCAATTGAAAACTGATTTTTGAGCGTTCATAATTTTTTCTGACGGTAAGAGCTAGAGAATAAAAATCGATAATTGGAAAACATTGGACCTTTTCGCCCCCTCCCCAGCTCATCGCACAGGAGTCACGTGCACTTCAAACCCTGGTGTGTACAATCCCATTAGTCATAGAGTAACATTTCACCAATATCTAGTTTTTCGAGTAAAAGTAAAACCTCGAAAGAATGCATACAAATATATCACTCTTTTTACAGTACGTTCCTTAACTTTTGTTGACTAGTTTAGTATGAAATTGCAAAGAAATCCTTGGCTAAGTATCTCCACAAAGATGCACTGTATAATAAGAGATAGATTTAGACCTGTGACAGCTCTGGGTGATGGTGAATGATCGCTTTGTTGTACATGTGATCAATGTAAATGAACAATGAATGTAAAGGGTTCAGAGAGAAGAAACAGACAGACTGTAGAGTGGAATTGAGAGGAATTTCACTGGTTATAATCAGTAAGTGCCATTTTTCACAGGTATGCTTTAACATACAAATTTTTGCTTGAAAATTCCAAAATTCCCTTCAACAAAGGAAAACACTCATAGCTAAGTTACTTGATAAGGTTAATGACTACTTTGAATAATTGACAGATAGGAACCATATTAAGTGTGCGTCAATCTAAAATAATATAGAAATCCAGACAGCTTAAGGCAATGTTTCATATTCCCTCTCTTCAAACAGGTGACAGCTCAGCTGCCTGCCCGTGGTGAGTATGGCATTGAGGTGTATGGCAATGATCCCGCCAAGGATGGGGACACCTATACTCACATCTGCCAGTACTACGTGCATTACGCTCCGCCAGCTGAGCAGCAATCTGCTTTCTACCAGGAGTCTCCAGAGAGGCGTGGCTTGACTTCAGGCCAGCAGCCCGTCAAACAGGCTGGCAAGTACAATGCCGGATCTGCTGGGGTAAGTTCTTTTATAATTTGTCATTTTTGAAGATATTTGTCTTGAGAAGTTGTAGTGGTATTTCAAACAGTTGTATCTGGTTTGGAGGGTTACAATGGAAACTGATATTTCATAGCTTAAAATTGCAAATGAAGAATTGGAGATTACATTTTTTTGGGCATTAACTTTCCTATCTGTGAAGAGATTGTTTGAAACAAATAGCAGAGTAGAAAGCTGCAGTTTTACACACTTACGTATGTTTTTTTTGTTGGTTTTTGCCCTTTGTAAAAGTGTATGTAAATGTAATTTTATGAAGTATTTCTTTTCAGGTCAGTACAAATGCTAATTCTCTGTTCTGTCTGCTTACAGTTGAACAATGCTGGTGGTGTGAACTATGATGACGAGGACTTGCCACCTCCACCTCCTGAGCTTCTTCAACAGCAGTACCTTTACGGCACTGTACCTGATAGCCGCCAGCAAGCCGTGCAGAGCAACCTGGCCTACCCTCAAGGTCAGGCTTTCACATCCTACGCTCCTGGTGTTGGAGAGACTGAGGGACAGAAGCCACAACAGGCAGAGATTACACACATTCCTGCGAGTACCAAACCTTTGGAGGTTTGTAGCAATGTCTGTCTGTACAAAAATGTTTATATGTGGGTTTACCCCCATGGACACAATTTTAGATCATTTAGGAGTTGGGCTTAAACCCTGCCTGTACGGGCCAACCTGGGGTGAAAGGGATACAACTCCCAGCAGAAAGACAGACATAATCGATAGAAATTCTTTTCACTCGGAAATGGAATCAGTGTGCGACGAGGAAGCACCATACAATCTATGAAAAATCAGTTGGTTGAAGTGCACACTGATGTATTTTGTTCCTTCTACTTTGGTTTAAGTTTTGCAAATATTTGTATCAACTTCAATGCCATTTAGAAGTGAAAGGGCGAAGAATTGTTATGCCACTCTTAAAACCATTTTTTAAAAACAATTTTGGAAAGGGGGGGGGGGGGGGGCAGTTCTTTTGTTTTTTCTTGTGGTGCAGTTTGTGTGACGAGGTGTAGGTATGTTATTTCGGTATTTCTTTTTACTCAGTCCAACAAGTTCTGAAAACCCACTAGTTCTAGGTGTCAGTACTAGTTAAGACTTCCTCATTTTTAAACTTTTGCTGAGATGAGAATACAATGGCAATACATCTGTTTTATGTAAATTATCCTCCCTGTATGGACTTAAAGAGTGGAGGCGAATGACCAAAAGCATGCAATAATAATAATAATGCAGATGGTTTTTATAGCGCCCACTCACATACAATTCAGCTTTAGTTGCTTTACAATACCTTCATCTTAACAAGAATACAAGTGAATGAATGTGCATACATATAGTCTTTCTATCAAGGCTAACAAATAAGCGTTCTTTCTATCATAGCACTTTGATGGATGTACACAGGTTAATTGAATTTTTGTGTGATAAATACCCGAAGTTTTACCATACATAGGCTGAAACAGCATCTTTGTATGTTCTAGGTGGAGAAGAGATCAGTGGGCCAAGAGGGCATAGCTGCCCCAGCCAGCTTCCAGCTGCAGCCGGTCAAGTCTGACCAGGGGTCTGCCCCAACACCTGCTCCTGCAGGTCAGCAACAGAAGCCTACCTTGGAGGCTATCGACAGAAACGTGTTGCAGTCTGTGGATGACCACGCTATCCAGGTGTGTATCTGTGTGCTTTAGTGTCTGTTTGTTCAACTAAATGAAAGATTCTCTTACAATATATAACAATGTACCTGTGGTGTTTGAAATATGAGCAATTAGGACAGATATGATAGGTGTATGTAAAATGAAGTTGACTTAATTTCATGAGTCATGATTTGTTTGTTAAATTGACATCTGTATTGGCATCCGTTGATGTGCTTTCTAAGCAGATTATTTCTTTGTGGAGACAGGTAATGTTTCATGTTGTGTCTAGCTTTAACTGAATCCTATATTTTCCACTGATGGGGAGAGTTTGAAGACAATTATATGAAATGATTACTCTTGTGCTATCAAATAAGTCGCTTCAACTTTATTGTCAGTCCTTTAAAAAAATAGACTTTTGAATTTTTCTGTGAAATTTCATGTTGATTAGGTTTCTTCCATTTTGCAATCTTACACTTTTTTATTGCAATCTTACACTTTTTTATTCTTTCATTTAGTTATCAAATTTAATGATTACTACACACTTTAATAATTGTTTATCTGATTCCTTTACTCAGGTGTCTAAATCCGAGCATAACAACTTCAGGGATTTGGTGTGGGATTTGATCTACTCCAAGAACATCACCAATGAATTGGAAAAAGTCAGGTATGTGATTGATACTTTGCTATTTGTTCTCAGTTTCCTTCTTTTACTCTGCAGTATGTTCAGACTTAGGTGCCTAAGAAAGACCACAGCAAAAATAAATGTATGGCATTGCTGAATGGTGATGATTAAGGGAATGAAATATGGATTTGATTTAGAAAAATAAAGAGTCTGATGGCTAATGAAGATCAAGGGTATTGTTTTTTCCAAACGATGTGTCTTTGAGTGGAGGGAAGATTAGAACAAGGATTTGATCCTCAAATGTTTTTGATTGAAGTAATATATTTGTAAGACATGTAATTTGAAGGTTGTCTCAAATTTGTTTACATACAAGTTTAATATTTGTAGCTTTGTTTCTAATTATTCAAAATTATATGTTCTGTGTTTTTTGTATACTTTCAGAGTGATCTTCCGGTGGTTGGCCACAAAGAATCTGAAGGAAATGAACTTTGACACAGTTGACAAAGGCAGTCCTGAAGAGGTGCTGATGGGTCTGAAGACTGGCACCACCACATACGCTATGGTGTTTGACACTATGTGCAAGTGAGTGTGGATTTTATTTTAAGCAGAGGACTTACATACAAAAAACTTGATGCATTACATGTTATTTTGCGACTATGTTTGCTACATAAACAAATGATTTGGACTCCTTTGTTTTGTTTTTTTTGTGGGAGAAAACACTTCAATAGCTGCTGGTTGATGCTATGTCTCCACGAAAACTTGCATTTCAGTGTTTTAAATTTTTTTTATTTTGAAGAGTGTTCTTATAAGTCGGTTACTTCTTGTAACCTTACTTCAGGGTGGAAAAAAATGTACATTCGACAGTTGTCCATTTTTATTTTTAACACTTGTGGAAACAGCAATGCGTGAACAGACTTTTTCTTTCTGTGTTGTTGATGTTTATTTTTCTCCCATTTTCCCAGCTATGCTGGCCTTCACTCAAAGATCATCAGTGGATATGCTAAGGGAGCTGACTACCGCCCCGGTCAGAAGTTCGTCCCTGGCACCAATCAGCACTCATGGAATGCTGTCTACATCTACGGCACATGGTGTCTTATTGATGCTCACTGGGCTGCCAGGCGTATCATTGGGAAACAGGCTTCTACAGAGGACTTCCATTACCAGCTCGATGAGTGAGTAGTTGTTGTTGTGGATTCAGCAAAGCACTGTTATTTGCACTTTGATATAGATGCTGTAAGTGGTATGTATGTACAAGTTTTCTCATACTTCTGTCAGTCCATTTAGAGTTTGTTCTGTGGGGTATGTCTGATCTTTGGTTGAGGGGGGGGGGGGGGGGCACCAGGGGAAAAACAGACCCTATAAAACTTCTTTCTGTTTTCCAAATTCAGTTCATACGATCCTCACGCGTGTGACGTTTTTAGCTTTGCTAGACTGCAAAGTAAATCTTCCCCTCTGTTCAAAATGCTACTGTGACGATTTGGCGTAATCGTTTCCTGTCGTCATGCCCTTCTCAGCCTCACCCCGAACGATTGCTATGAGTATGAGTGCACCAAGCTTTCGTTTTGCTGTGAAGGATGGGACCATTTTACGCATCATAACCATATTATTATTATCCATGTACACATGGTATGCTTTTAGCAGCCATCGCGTCCTTGCATATTTAATTTGTGCTGTGTACTTGTAATTATAAATTCAGAAAGCGCGCCCGTCATGTCCGTGTGTTACGCCAAAAATGTGTCCTATGTTAATTGAAAAAAAATTAAAATAAAAGAAATGGCTTATATGGACACTCAGCTCCCTGGTGAGACTTCGGCCGCTGTAATGTAGTTGGCCGTGTGCTTGGCTCAAGCACACACTTATGCAGAGGTTTAGGGTTTGTGTCCGGGTGGAATGTGACATTTTTTCGTCCGTCCATAAATGTTTCCCTTTTCAGCTCGCGTGTCGAGGGATGAAAACCCCCCGGGGACGCGCACACACACTGATGCGCCCTACAAGCGCTCAAATTAATACGTTAAGTCCGCGCACGCACACGCACACACACACACACGCGCACACACATACACACACATACTCACACACACACACACACACACA